AAAAAATGACGATCTGGCAGTTAAGCTGGATGAGTGCCCAGGACCATGGTACCAAGAGTACTTCACAAGACAATGAATGGAATAGTAAAGGATTAGAGAGGATTCTCTCCCTCCCGCCAAAGACAAACCCTTTGAGGCATTAACTATTTAATATTGTCTATATGGTTTTGGTAGAAACATACCAAGGATTAGAACAAATGGCATAATTTTAGTTTAATTTGCAAGATAATAGTTCAACCAAAATTCTCCCCTCCGTTTACTATGAAATAAAATGTGCTTTTAGGGGGATTCAACTTATGCATTTTTTAGTCCCATTTATTTCTATAATGAGCTCTTGTTTTCTTCCAGCAGTGTAGCCCTGCCTACCTGCTTTTCCCATCCCCTTCATTCAAAATTCTCTCTCACCTGTTTTCTCAATCTTCTGGTCTCTTTCTCCAAATGAACTACCAGGGCCACCGCCTCCTCTCCACTTTCTGGACACTGCTTCTGTGCCCAAGCCTGAATCTTCTCCGGCAGAATGGTGAGAAACTGTTCAATTACCAGCTGCTCGAGGATCTGCTCCTTGGAACGCATTTCTGGCTTCAACCACCGGCAGCAGAGTTCCCAGAGTTGACTGAAAGCTTCATGGGGTCCCGTCACATCCTCATAACAGAACTGTCTGAAGCATTTACGAAAGGACTCACATTCAGTGCTGCCTGACTGGTCCAGAATGGGCTCCGATGTCCACTCTGAGTCCTTTTCCACTTTCATTATGAGGCACTCCTCAACTTCCACGTCCACCTGAGGGTCCAGGACTGTTGCCATGACCCAACCAGGGCCAAAAGGTCTAGCTCCAAGTAAGGGCCCAGAGACGCTTCCGAGGGCCCCCTAGGTAAATGCCTTTGGAAATATGGGACTGGAGGGAGATAAAAGACAGTATATCAGCTGGAACAAGGGCCTCCAGGCTGATTAATCAAATTTTTATTAGGATCTTGAAAAGGTGAATGGGCACCCACCCCCAAAAGTCTGCAAACCTGCTCTCTTCTCCAGTCAAGATGTGCCCCCTCCCATGAGGATCTCTAGGGGGCAAGGTCGGAAAGAGAACCACCCGCTGGGCTAGCA